TTTCTGACATGTTGGGTCGGAACCAACAATTTAATCAACCTTGTGATTATTTGAAAGAAATATGTAGAGATTGTGAAGTAAATGGCAATCTGAATATAGAGAAAAGGGTAATTCGAATATGTTTATATTTTTTCATTGCTAACTAATTATCATGCAAGTTTGTTATAATCATCCATACTTTCATTATATATAGACTATTCATATTATTGGGGGGAAAAAGCGAGACGTTAATGAGGCTTTCAAAAGATTGAAAGTATTGGAAAAAGTTTATGTATGGCATTTATCTTTTTTTTTTTCTTGAAACTTAAAAACCAGACTAATTGATTTATTCAATTTTAGCTTCGACCGAGTTTCAAAGCACAAGAAATACCTTTGGTACATTACCCAAACCAAAATGTATTCTTCAAGCTGTACTTTTTGAATATCAAGTTCCATCCGTGGTTTAAGTTTATGTACCATGCCTCTATTGCGAAAGATGCATATATAATTATTCCTGTCGTCAGAAATCCCAATACTCAAAAATGGACTCTCCCAAAATATGTTGAACCAGAGCAAAATAGATCCGCAACTATGGTGAATAACAATGTAAATAGTAATGCACCTCCTCGTGGTCGTCCAATCACGAGAAATCCACCAACTGAGCAAAAATATGATTGGCCTGAAGTCCAACAGGTCCCCGCTGACATTCCATGGAGTAGTTCTAATGCATTCGATACTTCTTCAACTAAAGATTTTCCGACTCTTTCTCCTTCGTTTGTGGGGTCGAAATCCGCTGCATCCACAACATCTACATCTACTCATTCTTTATCACCTTCAAGAAGAGAATTTTTGATTAACACAGAAACACAGACATTTAGTTCTAATGCTAGTCTATTTGATGGTACAAAACCACGTCTTACCGATGAAGAAAAATTGGCTCGTAAGGAGGCCAAGAAACAGAGAATAATTGATAGACGGAGACAACGTTCTCAATATGGAACATCTACAGATAATGCTGCACAAGTTACTGATGTGTTTTCGTCTATGTCAAATCCTTCAGATTGGGTTACACCTCAAGATAATAATGCAACCACATTAGAAGCACGGGTTTGGAGTGATAAAGCTGCTGGAAAAAAAGTTGATGAAAAAGGCGGAATTAATATCGTTATGAGGGATGTTATTCTTGAAAAAAGCCCCAATAACAGTAATTCTTCTGTCAATGGAAATAACGTGCCTGGAACACCTGGAAAGATGTATGATTCCCAAATATAGAATTATTGTGTTTTATATCATCAATAGAATTATCGATTATCTAATTATATTAATTAAAAAATCAGGCTCAGAGACTATAATCTCAACCAAATTAGTCAAGTTTTAAGTGAGGGGTACCAAAATTTTAACTTATTTATTTGTAAACTATTATTGAATTTTATGTATAGTGACCTCTTGCATTATTTAGCCTTGGATATGTTCGTTCACAAAGAGAAGAGATTCGATTATTTGGAAGGTAAATAAAAAAAACCTTGTTTTACAATTATATATACAAGATCTGTTTTTAATTTTCTTTTTATATTTCGTTATTTAGTTTAGGAAAAGTTTTATTCACCAAAGTTCCTCCTAATGTTTCAAGCGGTTTATGGGATTTCTTGGATTTAAAAGATAT